TGAATGACGTAATTAGATGCAATAGATTGTAATGCACGCTGCAAATTCCATGCCTGTACCACAAATACTATTTGGAGTAAAGCTGTTATAAATAAATTCATTAATTAATTAAATTGTATAAAATAAGCTTTTGAAAGAGTCAGTATACAAATTATTGAACAAGAAAGAGACCTGTTAAATTTTTGTTAGCTTTAATTACAACAATGTTGTTTTTGCAAACGTGGCATATTCAATCGTACGACGGTAGTTTTTAGTAATAAGGATGCCAGCTAAAGAATGATCATAATCAACGATCAGCAGTGAATGCGTGAGAGAGGGAGTACTTCTTGTAGTCTGTTTCCCTTTGAATCACTTTGTTGTTTTCATCACAGAAGTATGTGGCCTGATTTATTCTGTGGGGTGAAGTACTTTTTATGATTCACGACGAATTCCTGTACATCTTTAGATGTTCACAAATCACACAATTATTATTATTATTATTATATCCTTTAGTTCCTAGAGGAACATAGGGCTTCAGCTGCGCACCTCCATTGACTTCGGTTTTCTGACAACTTTTTCACCCTGCTCCAGGTCTGTCCACATGCTTTCATCTCCTCCTCGCATGACCTCCACCCAAGTCACCCTCCAAATCACACAAACATTCTCATTATCTTTTTTTCACTTGGCTACACTTCTGTTGAACGCAATCAGCATCAGGTTTGTTCAACAGAGTATGTATGAACTGAGTGATCACACTGCATCACAGTAGTGTGGATATCCAGGATATCTGAAATGAGAGTCTGCAAACATTTCAGCTTTGTGTGTGAGATAGAATGCACAAGATTTGATATTTCAACGATGATTGAAGACAATCTCCTCCTATCTATATGGAATAGCTTATCACTCCGTCTTCATCGCATATCTCAATATGGAGTCGACCGATGAAGCTGCGGACGAGTTCATCAACTATCTTGCCTAAATAGAAGAAGAAAGTCAAAGCCAGTATTAATGTTCACTCATATCCGTGTAGCTATTTGTCACCATAACAGCGAATATAAACAGTGCAACTAAGACTACTGAAATTATCAAAAATCTACTATGTACAAGTAGAAACCTTTTGTAAAGTAAAGTTTTAATTAATCAGAATAAACATTACTGAATTGGAAAGGGACCTGTTAGATGTTTGTTGGCTTTAATTAGAACATAGTTATTTATGAGAACGTGGAATATCGATCCGTACAGCGATAGGTATAAATACATATATATAGCCTGATTACATGTTTTTGGACTCCATGTGGATTTCGCTGCCGAATGGAGACGAAAAGTAAGTTTCACTTCCGGAGACTTCTTCAGAACCGAATTTTATCCCAATGTAAAAGACGCTGATCAATGATTGCAGTGTGAACTTGATAGAATTTTGTCAATATCACTCCTATGACAGCATTGTTCTCACACATGATGAAAGCGTTGTCGATGTATCTTTACGCAATATGGAAATTTCTCCTCATTCATTTCCTTGCGAAGCATTGCATCCCTTTACTTCTCAAATTCGTCTTACGAAAACGAAATTTTCTGTAAGCTCATGAAGGATAGAATTCACTTATTAAAGATGCTTGTCTGATTAACTGACAGAATCTACACACAATACTCACAAGCACCTATGAAAGTCTTGCTGAGTTTTTCAAATCTCGAATTCTCCGAACGCATCTGATATCCTCGGTTTATAGTGTACATTATTATAGAGAGAATCACTATGGACTTTCTGTTGGAATCCTACTACAAAAAATAGGAAATCGAATGATGAAGATATTGGACATCGAAGACCATTCAGTTCGCATCGAATGACAAGTCTGCTCTCATTACAAATGCTACCCCTGTGGGCAAATGTGATATTCATTTGAAATAGCAGCATTTTGCGTTGTCCGAATTACAATGAATCATCCAACAACACAGAGGGGTATGAATTTAGGATTTTGTATTTGCAGAATTATTTGTGATTCATATAATAAATATTAAGAGAAAGCAGTGAGTATTTAAACAATACAGTGATAGAAATTTTCAGTCATTAAATGAGGGAAATAAGATGTTCTGACACTCTTTAATTTACCTTATTTCGATGATAAATGATGATAAAATAGCGTGAATTGGTGAATGATTCAATTTGAGAACATCGAATTCATCTGACTAGTTGGAATATGTAAAATATTCGAATGATAAGACGGTATTTGAGAGCCGAACAACAACCAAATGTGGCACGAACACAGATTGTGTTCGACGCATGCTTAATTGCGATTCGGTCAGTATGCCTAATAATCTGCCCTGCCTAGATTTCCGCTTCATTTTGTAGAATTAATTTCGAATTTCTTATTCGACCCACTAACCACCAGATTACAACCTCACAAGAGACCAAACAACGCCGACTGATATACAAGCACCAGTATTTGGATGGTTACAAATGCAGTGAAAATTATAAAGAGATGGAGTGCACGTTTCAGAGAATGGCGGTTGAGCTGAAATTCATCTAAATCGCTCATTGGTTAATATTATCCAGTTACATTCATTGAACACTGCACGGACTCGCACACAATTTCACTGAGTTTTCAATTAAAATCAGGGATGAAACAGCATTCAAAGCAATTGATAAGGATAAGTCAGTGGGTGATATGCAAGCATTGTAACAGTGATGTGAAAGTATAACCCGGAGGAATCGACGGATACAATTACAAAGTGAGTTGAGATATCAAAGTAAGGATGAGGCTTACAAATAATTGTTGAGGAGGTATTTCACAAACGATTATTGAAGACAAACTCCTCCTACCTACATGGAATGGTTCATGATATCGTCTTCACCGTATATCTCAATATGCCGTCGATTGACGAAGTTGTGGACGAGTTTATCAACTATCTCTCCTGATGAGTTTGGGGAAGAGATGAAATCAGCAGTATTCTTCCCTTATATCTTTGTGGCTATATGTCACCATATCAGGCCATATCACTTTTGCTATCGGCCTACTACTTATCTACTATATACTGGTTGAAAACTTGTGTAAAGTAAACTTTTAAATTTTTCAGAACACAGATTTCTGAGCAAAACGTTTACCTGTTGAATTTCTATCAGCTTTATTAACTAACTAATTATTTTTGGAAATGCGCATTATTTATGGGGACGACAATAGTTACTAGTAATTACGCCACCAAATAAATGCTATCTGTAATCAATGATCACCAGTCTATATGCAAAAGTTATTCTTGTAGTCTGCTTCACCGCCTTATCACTTTGTTACTTAAATCACAGAAGTATACAGCCTGATTTATTCTATTACAAGAAATACTTTTTATAATTGAGGTCAAATTCCTGTGTATTTTGTAGATGTTCAGATATCACACAAACAATCTCATTAACTTTGCCTCACTTCGCTTCTCTTGAACACAATTAGAATTACGCTGTTTCAAGAGAGTAGAGAAGTGAAGTATCAGAGGAGATGTCTGTGCGCTATGGATATGAAGGTGTTATGTGGCATTTTGGCGTAGCTATTTACATCGCATGCCAACAGTAAGAATACTGATCGTACTCACAGTGACAATGTCATTCTCAGTTTCTCATGCACTGTCTTTGAATGCATTCCAACAATTTTCGTGAGATAAATGCCACACTGAGCACCAAATACTAATGCTCGTCTTCTGTATTTTCTGAACCGATTTAATTCGCACATGTCAAGCTACGAGGGATGAAGATGAACTGACTGAAGTCTCGTATTCAACAAGTCATTATATGTATAGATATATGTGGATTAATATCGAGTCTCTGGCGTAATTTCTACTGTTGTGATCGACTATGATGAGACGGAATGTTGTCTCTCTATGTTTCCTTCTCTGCTTAGCGACCTAAATGATGAAACCGAACATTGAAATATGCCTGAATCAATCAGTAGAGTACAGCGTTGAAAATATTTGGACATCAATTTCAGATGTTGGAAGAAATAAGACGTCGTGCTGGTATATGATGATATTATGGGAGTTCAGCAACGTCAGAGTGATAATCAGCAGATAGTTGTTGGATGGAATGTTTAAAGATATTACAAGGAATTCAAATCATAATGAACCGAATCCTTTAAATCATGTGCTAAAAGCATACGCCAGGTAAAATTCGAGAGATTCTGATCACCATAGTAGATATTTCTTTAATTACAGAAGTGCCCGTTTGTGTCTGAACATCTTCAATATTCCAGTAACCGATTAGTCGTGTCAGTTGTCAGTGGATTTCATCGCCATCAAACCATGAGTTTGTAGAGCATCGGAGTCTGGTGTCTCAAAGATTATTATAGCAGCTTCGAACTGGTTTTGCGTCGCTCGATACCTCCATCAGTCTGTATTCTCCCTGTAATATATCTGAATGAAGACCTAGTGAATATATATTTCACGGAACTCGGATGTAAGCGGGATATTCTGAAAATGTGAAAACCTCGTTCCTACTCCTACTTGAGTCCTTTGACAAAATCTATGCTTGATGAGTCTTGAGTCATACAATTATGTATCTTAAGATGAGATAAGTTCCAAGGTCTCTCCTCTTTCAGCTTCACTTGATCTGTTAGGGTTTTTTTACACCTAATATATTGAAATTTCACTGTCTTATTCACACGAATCAGGTTGAGGGACAGTCATTGTAAAATCACTAAGGCTGGTTTACAATACAATGAAAGTGAATATCTCTCACACTTCGTTAGATGAAGTTGTGAAAGGCAGCTTCTCATTCTGCTAGGTATTAGGATGTGGCAAACATTCGCAGAGATCACTTGTGAAGGTGATTAAAATGTAAGCGAATTTTAGTTGCTTGACTTACTTTTCGATCATAATGTCACAAAAATGAACATTTTGGATAAGCGGATGGATGCGTATTGCGTATGTCCTTGTGTTTCATCAACCTCTAGCAAGAATTGTGTTATAATACTTACTTGTAGTATTAGAGAGAGAATATTTAGCATTCTCTCCATGCTGAACAGCAAGCAGCTCACTCACCTACTCTTCCACTCACTCAATCATCCAAAAACAATTACTCACCACACTGACCTTTTTTAACTAATGAAAAACAAAGTAAGCACTACTATGTTTATCCATTGACAAACGTATTACACAATCACAACTCACCACCAGGAACAGTATAAAAGTTGAAAAGTGAAGCCACACAACAGCATAAGAAGAAGAGAATATGTTCAGCACAATGTACATTCACATTCTTGCTATAATGCTGTTCATATTTGTCAGCATGAACAGAGGTAGGTCTATATTGAAATGACTGTGCATTTGTAACTCAATATATTCAAAATAACCTGTTTTATATCATGATGAATATTACTGTTTTTATCGTATCAATATTATTTAACACTATTCCGTGATCATATTTCCGAATCGAAAGTGGTTGTAGCTCGAACACCACTTTCACTATCTCCTTAACAGATCACTCTTTTATTAATGTCGAATAAGAATTCGGTGTTGACCATCTCTCCGTTTCCAAAATGGAGCGTGAGTGGAATGAAAATTTCATTCCATGCTGTCAACGACGTTGTATACTCCAACTGGAGTTCTGCTAAATAGCAGTCAAATACACCAAATACTCAGAAAACTCTAAAACCAGATGAAATGAAGAAATGCTCGCATCCTTGTCACGTGTTTTTTCGAAACTTCGGTTAGCATAACAATGGCTATTCCTTCCCTTCTTTGTCAATTCTCAAGGCGAATCGACTAAGTTAGAAGACATTGAGAAGCTGCACTGGGATTCTCTAGGTAAGACGATTGACTTCATATACCTGACTATATAATTGTTCTTATTATTATCCTACACAAGCTGATGTGTAGGCACTGCTCCTTGACACTTCGTCACATCTTGTCGCTTCTCTTGTTCTTTATTCACACTATAACTACCGCTTTCTCCTTTTGCAGAGCGATTACCGAGATTTGCTCAGGCGGTTCTCATCAAAGAAGGGGGGATTGAACGACAGAAAGGTAGACATACATATATATAGATATTTCATGTGATTAATGACTTCACTTGGTCTTCTCGATTTCCGTATCTTGTGTTCGTTTGAGATATTTGTTATATTTTTCTAGGAGATTTTCCCCATATAGGTTGTTTCCTGTAAATACTTTACCTTTCAATATTGAGATTACATGGAGTCATTTTATTGACTTGAGACTTATTCATCAAGTGAAGATATCATATCAACGCCAGGCTGAAAGTGATGAACTTATCAATAAGCGTCTACCTGATTTCCTAATTCACTTGACATTTTGTTTCATAATCGCTCCAATCGAGAACACCTTCTCACCTTCACGTTCATGACAACATTCACTTTGTTGTAAAGTGAATACAATACGGTGTAGGCGTGCTCCAACAATAGCAAATACGCTCGCTGTTTTGCATAGATATATCAAATGCTGAACTGTATAGAGATGTCCGATTTTATGCAACTGACCTTGTGACTTCTCTCTTTTACTAGATAAGATTATTAATGCAACTGCAAAAACAGGCAACAACATCAACAACGTTGAGATGTGTGAGTGAACATTTTTCGAATTTCAATGACTAATAATCTCTTCCAGACATCAGTTGTTGGAGAAAAATCTATGAAGACCAATATGGACTGGAATTATTCATGAGTGAGTTCTTGGATTGAGTCTAACTTTGTTTTATCACTATTATTTCCATGGGTTCTGAGTGGAACACAGGGCTGTTAGATTCTGTCCTTTTCAGCTGGGTCTCTCACCTCTTCATCGAATGCCCTCTACCGTGTTTCCCTAGAACGAACAACTCGTCGCTTTCCATTCGTATTCCAATCAACCGATGGCCAATATTGAGTGCAGTGTCATTCGACGGCTTCCTCAACGTGTGCCCAACCCACCTCCATTCTGCCTTACGTTCTTGTTGAGCAATAGGCTGTTGTTCGGCTTTTCTCCAGCCAGGGTATATTGGTGCTAATTCTTTCTAGAACGACCAGCCATTTGATCTTCAGTATGGAGGCAGAAAATTGAGCAGTGGTTTACGGAAGTCTGTAGTCTGTGGAAAATACTTTTCGTGACACGCAGTGCCAGTATCTGACCCGTACTGGAGATCTGATTTCACATATGTGTTGAAAATTGGAAACGTCTTCTTCACGTTTGCTTAGTGCAGTAGGATCGCAAACTGACTTCAGGTTCATGGAAGCGTATCTTACCTTTCCGATTCCAGCCACCGTTAACACCTTCATTCGTGCCATCTGCCTCCTAGATAATCGAAGGAAGTGACCTCTGTCAAATGTCTCCTGTTTGTGAAGATTGGTACTGGTTGTTGTTGCCGTCTGTCGTTTGATTATCTTCATCACGTCCGCCTTCTTTTTGTTCAATTTGCGTCCTGTCCTCTCTGCCTGCCTCTTCCGTTTCTTTGTTGGTTTTCGCCTGTAAGTCTTCGAGTACATGTGACATTAGACCTGCGTCGATCGCTTCCCCGACAGAGACCTAGTTATCTGATATAATGTTCTGATGTCACTTCGGCCTGCCTATTCTGCTTCAGTTGTCATCCAGTGTATCGTGGAATCGTCTTTAGTCTCTCGTAGCACTCTTCTTCACTTCTTTATTCAGTGCAGTGTACACTGAACTCAGCTTCTCCAGCTGTTCCTCATCTTTGCGTTGATTCATCTTTTCTTTCTCCCAACTCTCCTCCTTTTCAATTAGCCTCTAGGTAGGCGTCCGTCCAGAGCCATTCCTTGTCTTGTCTCTTATTTCTAGAACAGTTTTATACGTTCCCTTGAACACCAATTTCAGAGAGTTCTAACGTTCCTTCATACATGTTTCCTCAGTGATTCCATGTAGTGTCTCCAAGGTTGCTCTGATCTGGTCTGCATTGAGCGAATCTCTTGTGGATTCGTCCTCCACTTTCTGAGTGTTGAACTTGAATTGTGGTCTGTCGCCATTTGTTTTCAGATTTAAGCCTCATCTTGAAGGTTCATTGAAACAGATAGTGGTTTCAGCCCACATCTGCCCCCATTCTCGGCTTTGTTTTCAGAAGGCTACGTCTCCACTTTCTTGAGCAGCATTGATATGACATCTATTTGGTTTGTGTTATGTCCATCAGGAGAAATCCATGTTGCCTTGTGCATATCCTTAATTTTGTACACACTGCCTCTAATCACCAAATTATTGAAGGCGCAGAAATCCGCGAATAATTATCCGTTCTCATTGATTTTGCCGATCCACAGCCTCTCAAGTCATGATGAGTTCTTTTCCCGCATTACCTGCTCTCGGTTTAGCATTTATATCGCCCATGAGGATTTCGATGCCGCCACTTAGGATGTTGTCCACTATTGTTCCTACTCGCCAATAAAAATCTCACTTCTTCTCTCGTTTCGCGTTGTTTGTAGCAGTGTGAGTAGTATCGCATGATAATTGTGACCTTCTTGCATAATTCCTGAGTTGAATCTTATTGCCATAATCATTCAGGGCGGAAATGGTTCACACTGCATTAGGGCTTTGGCGGCTGTCGCTGACATCATGATAGCTACTCATTGCCTGAGTGTGTTCATGGTTGTCGTCTGGATGACTATCGTGGATTAGATTTACAACTCTGTAGTTGACTGGTCAACATCCAATCTATATGACCTCGCAGATTCCGAACACTTCTTTAGCATATCTACTCATTTCTTTGACTGCCTGGACAGCCTTCCCAGGCTTGTATATTGTACGTACAAGCCACGATTCCATTCGTATTCTTGCTTTCATTGAGAGAAGGCACATCGTTTGACTGGTTTCTCGATGGTTTTCATCAGCCTGCGTCAAATTACCTCCTCAACCTCAGGAAAGAATAGGTTTGTGTTTTTACTCCTCTTATTTTCAGTATTTTCTCATGCATTGAAGCTTCCGTGGCGGTTTGATTGGTTTTGTGATGTGGAGCTCCTATCTCCTTTCTCCCAGCCGTCCCTCTTTATATGGGTTTGAGACCGGCTGAATGTACTACTTTTATTCACATTGTTATCAAATGACTTCGGTGTATTGTTCTTGTATAAGCGATGCAGTTACACTGTCTGACGTGAAACAACTATCTAATGAGAGTACTCACTAATTTAGTGTTGACAGGAATGTGATGCATTGAAGTTGTTGACAGGGATACATGTTCAGGGAATTTCTCTCCTGCTTTTTCAGAGATACTCCCAACATCCGTTAGTTTTTAATAAAATTAGACCTACCCACTCACCACAATTTGGATTTGAAACCATTCACTGCACTCACTAAAGCCATGCATCAATTAAAAGTGATGGAGCGCTGATTTTGCACGTAGGCAAATGACGTCTACTGGCCATTTCGATGTAAATGCTCATTTCGGAGTTGACAGAAAACCACTTCAATGAAAGTGAATATTTGAAGAGAACCAATTGCGTCTCTAGACGTTATTCAATCAAATTAAATTAAATTTCCTGAGGACTGCGTGTTGTCACCTCGTCAGTTTAATTGCAGTGGAAGAAATTGATAAGTTATTCTTGAGTATACCAACGAATTAGGAGGTTGTGAAGTAAATCCACATAAATTTCAGTGATCAATGCTTCACTAGAAAACTATTCCATTGCGTCGTCTCTCCTGATGTCAGTTGTCACTTTCTGTCTTTTCATCAGATGGCGTATACAAACTTCAACACGAACCTGAACAATTCGGTAAACTGAATTTCTGTCAACTGAATTTGTGTGTATGGCTGTTATCACTTTGTCTGCATCCAGTATATAAATTGAGAGTTGACAAAGATGTCAGAGTTAAAATGTATTCCTCGAATCTATTCGACAGAGGAAACCACTTGAAATTCGACAAGGTATCACCCACCTAAATCTCCTTTTTGTGTTACTCATCGGCATATGTACGCCTGATGTAATCAACAGACCGTAAAACATGTTATATGATAAGAGACTATTGCATTCAAGCGTTGAAGTTATCTTTGCACATCATATTGTCGATTCATATTCAACTTGTATAATCGTCACTCTCTATTTATCATCTATCCTCCCATCTTTCCATACTCTCCGAGATCAATCCATCCGAAATACTGCATTAATTATTACTTCAACAATTTATCAGAATTGATTCTACCCACTGACAGTCATTCTTCCACCACACACGATGCCCATCAAAATTTCTATCATATATTTGACTGGCCATTTTGTGGAAAACAGACATCACTGTGTTATTGCTCAATCTGAAAGCAGAGATATCGAAGACCCATGTGCATATAATCATTTCAGAAAATATCAGATAGGAGCCTACTGAATCACCAACCATTCAGCACTTAAATTCACATATTTGTCTGAAACTACTATTCCAACATGATGAACATAAATTGACGTGTTGTTTGATAATACATTTACATACAGGTCCCTACACAGAGGAGCATTCACTTCAACAGTGTGTCCAGAATAAGGCTAATACTTATGCAGGTAAACAGTTTGGCCTTGTATTCTTCTCTCCCACTACTTACTTCATAAACATTTCTACCTGATCCTACCTGTTATGTCGGTGTCAGTTTCACTTTTGAACCATCCTTATTATTTCAAGTACAAGCCATACAGTTTTTACTATTCGACATATCTGTAATCGTATGAGTATTTGACAATAATGATAAGTTCAATGAATGTTTCTCTTCACCTTGTTTCACTGTTCTGTTGTTTCTGTCTGTATGTTTATCAGCTAAGTTGCCATCAGTACAAGCAGCCAACTGTGATAAGTATAGAATACCAGGACACGAACAAGGTAATCCATTATTGACAACTTGCACACATGAAGTAAATTTTGTAAGACATTTTCGAAGAAGTATAAAAAATATATTTCTGAATTTTATCGGGCGAATTTTCGAAATTCAAATGTATTTTCTCTGATAGTGTTGTCAGTGAACTAACTGGTAGTTGAACTAACAATGTGCAGAATGCAATATCATGTGTAAAATTAGACTTCCGACTATTTCATGTTTCTGTGAAGCGCATTGAACTCAAGTCTGAAGTCTCAGAATCTATTCGAGATGTAGTCAAGACTGCAGTTAATGCAATTTCAAGACTGCTGTTCACTGACATATAAGATGGAGTTGTCAGTCCACCGATAATGATGAAGTCGAAGTTAGGTGATTTCAACACATGACCAGGATTAATAAGCTGACACAAGGATTTGTCGAAAGTATTTTGACTGTCTTCAAACACGTTTTGGTGATCAACACTGAAGTGAATGAACACACAGTCGTCTGCTTAAACAACAACAACAACAACACAATATACCAAAAACAACCAATTATTTCACAGTATTCTACATGACCACCTTTCACTACATGATTCTGTGACATTCACTTTTAAAATGCAGCCATAATCTTACAAATTTCAGATTTCTATGAATTGCAGAACAAAATAAAGTATTCATATTATCAAAGAATGTGGTATGGTGAAGCCATTTGTAAGTTCAATCTCTTTTGTTTTAATGAGCTTTACACTCTCCATTTATGCGTTATATTCTATTTAGAAAAGCAAAGTAAAAACTACTGCCTGCTACTCGGTGAACTCAACGTTCGTGTCATGCTCATACCTCTTGAAGATTAGGCGGCTATTGTTCACTTGACAATGGTTATTTATCTACAACTGAGAAGAATAATCTATTATTCTTGGAATGTCGATGTTTCCAAGGAATCGTGCATCAGTTAATAGTCAGTACACAACGTTTGGTTGCATATAGGTCTATTCACAGGAGAATTTCAACCGATCACAGAAAAAACAACTAGAATAGTCTGAAATGTTCACTCACGCTCGAAATCGTCGAAATGTTCGAAGAAGACAGTTGAATCACATAGGGGCTAAAGCAAATATGCGAATGACTTCTACTCTGTTAGGCAGAGTGAAAATGCACCGAGAAGCTAGATCAGTATGAGTGTTTGCATGACGATATAGTTAATTTAGGAGACAGTGATGAAGGGAATTCCATCAAACAACTTGTAGACACGCGAACTTATTCAGCGCGTTTTAGTACTCCCGATCAGGTATCATCACTTGTAGGAGAAGGAATTTACACACTAATCAACAAGGCTTGATTTCCTTCACCTAATACACCATCTTTATATTGCTCCTTCACTTTCAAGTGTTCAATAAAATTCATGAAACTGCCATCGTGAAGTTGAGACGTGAGTTTTACCCAACTACTATCTCGGAAAATCTTTCCACGTTTCATCTTCCAAAATTGACTGGTGAGAGAAACTACCATCCGAATTTATATAGAAATATGTTTAACTGAAATCTGAAACCAATCAATGTGAATACAATGTTGTTTGTATTTCGAACACGAGGGACGAGATTAGTGTCATGAGGTGGACCATGATTTCTTTTTCAAGTCATACGATATTATACCATATCATATGAAATCATATATCTGAAGAGGGTCAGGCAGTGTATCACAGATTTAGCATTCAACAGAACCCAACCAACAACTTCTTTTCAGTCGAACACCAGTTGTGGTCAAGTCATTCTGAAAACATGTCAGACATTCCCAAAACACCATCACTCACAATCACACGAACACCCACACCTACACATGCACACATGAGTGTGAATAAATGGATTTGAGATATCTGAAATATAATAAGGGGATCAAGGAGACTGAAGTCATTGACTGTCAGTCATTCTGGGTATGCACTGATGCTGACAATAGGTGTTGTGAGATCTTCAAGTCAAACAGCCTGCAAAGATACTCAGAACTGGTCGATTTCCTTGTGTCTTCACAACATTCAGCGTTGTTGGCTTTCTCATGAAATTTCTAATGCTAATCCACACTTATTTTCTCTCCAGTAGTTCGAGGAAGAAACTAGAGAAGAATATGGTTGTCCGGGTCACGCTGCTTGGGCAAACGTGTATTCTGAACATTATAGAAATGTGTTTAGGAGCTGTGGTATTCATGTACACTTTTAACTAAATAACTCATTCTCATAATGACGCTTACTGTCTTTCTTCTAAATACAATTTTATCATTCAAATATTCGACTTATTCCGACTGATCAGATGAATTCGGTGTTTTCAGTCTGAGCCATTTGTATATCTGTCGACGTTAAGAAATTCACACTTGACATGATGGTAATTATATTTCAATGTTTCAGTGGCTCAGGATGATTTCCCTGATGGTGACGTTGCAATTGAGATCAGTCAAATAATTATTATGCTATCAGGAGTTTCGGAACTGCTTATAGGCCACTTTCATGATTGCAATATATGAAAAAGTGGAATTCGTTTTATTTGAACATAGCACTACTGAATAGGAATTCAAGTAATTGGCCGCACTGGTCATAGTCGTAGCATTGGTTTAGCTAGTTGGTAGGTCGAACTGCTGGTACCAGTTACTCCTGTTACACTTTCTTTAGTCTAGAGATTTCTGTAATTTCAAAGCGTAACAAACTAACAGCAGGATGACGAGATGACATTTTCAACAACAGAAATCATCTGCATTGTAAAATAGACGTCTAGTTTGTAAAAATTCCGACTTGGATATTCAGAAGAACAAAACGAGTGTCTAAGCGGGAACGCCCTCTACAAACAGTTCATTTTTGAGCTGCATAATCGTATTTCATATTAGTTTGTTAGTTATTAGATGTTTTACACAGTGAAACAGTATTGCAGTTCACTGGATGACAATGTTTCGAACAAAATATATTGTTTATTATAACTGATATGATCACGAACAATAAATGTTTTCGAAACGTCATCCAGTAAATAACACTGTTTCATTGTGTGATATATCTAATAAACAAACTAATATGGAATTACAGGATTTGCATCATGAGCTGACATTAGTTAGTTAAAGAACCACTGGAAAACCTGGGAGTACTGGACAGCTGTTTCGTCCTCGGACTATCTCTAACTAGTGTCAACTCATGATGAAATCCTGTCACCAATCAAATCCCTACAAACTAACACTTGAATTTTAATATGGAATTACTTACTATCACAGTGCCCAAGTTTTACACCTATATGTACACCTATATATATATATGTAGTAATTAACTAGGGTAGTTCTGGTCTTGTCGAGCTAGTGAATAGTGGAAGGCAATACACACAAACGGATTATAGGTCTAGATAAGTGTATGAATTATCGAAACGCTTTGTGTATATGTGATGCACACCGATAATCAAATTATCGTCGACGGTTTTCGTAAGTAGAAGGAGCTGTTGTTGTTGTTGTTTTAGACGTTGTTGAAACTCCATTACAACTCATCTTCAGTCGGTATTCCTATTCAGACAATAGAAGTGAAGTTTCCTGTGTCATGTGGTTTCGTCACGAAAAGTATTTCTTGTCACAAACAACAATTTTCCGATTTCAAGTGTTGGTTTGTAGGGATTTGATTGGCTACAGAGATGAAGACATAATGAATAAAATATAAATGGAAGATATTATTAAGATCTATTAAATAAAAAAAAGAAACCGCATTGAAAAATATTGCTGCGTTGAATAGTTATGAAGGAAAGACTGAATTTCCCATAGGCTCCTATAGGAATCCTATAGCCGTTTTGCGGCGAAAAATCATCACTTTTTCAATGTTACTCGGAAACGAAGGCAGATGGCACAAAAGTGTATATGGTATCAATGATAGATATTTTTATGCTCTACACGATGCAAGAAACCGCATTTCAAAATAACCATTGATTGAAAAGTTATGCAGGAAAGGATAGCATAAACTGATCACCAGTAATCAATGTGAAACTATTATGAAATTTTATGTATTTCCTAAAGCATTCCCATAGGAACTGCAAAATTTAAGGAAAAAGAATGTTTTTGAGAGAAGAGGGAGACAGATGGTGTGAAGTGTGCGGCATACAACGATAAATATTCACGAGATTTACAAGACAAAATATCTCCATTGAAAAATATTCATTCATTCAAAAGTTATTGAAAAAGCTTTGAAATTGTGACATAATTTCTACAGGATTTCTAAAGGATTTTCAGGAGGCAAATATTTTCAAATTTTGAAAAATTAATTATCCTTAAAAAGAAAGCAGAGAGTGCAAAAGTCCACGATTTTGGATTGAAAAATCCGAAAATGGTGTTTAACACAGCAGAGTCCACAAAATGAAAATTTCAGATACCTGTACCATGCTATATATATATTTATATCATTCGCTAGAGAATCGTTTGCAATGTGGTGCACAAAAGCAACTAGGCCAAAATATTCATCCACGGAAGAGAAATTTAAAAATTTATGAAACTTCAATTTTTGCCGCTTTTTACTATAGAAAAGAATAGGAGAGATATTTAAAATATTCAAATATATCTTTTAAATGGCCGAACCGATTTGCTTGAAATTTTCTGAGGTGACTACATATATCAAGACCTATCGAATGATATATAACACTGGTCTAAATCGAAAAAAATAAATTTTCATTGTGTTGTGTTAAACTCTGTGTGTATTATAGGGATAGTACCCCTAACTCACATGCAAAAGCCAAAAAAATTGAAAATTTCGAAAATGCTCCCAAACGATAGAGAAAGGCGTAAAACCAGTTTTTGTATTTGTCATCAAGGGGTTTCGAGCTTGTCTAAGGCCTCAAAATCTCAATGCAAGGCTGCTAGATTATAACCATAAAATCCTACATTAAACACAGCATAAGCTATACACACGATATGAGCGTGGGTTATATTGATCTCCGAGACGTTCGTAACGTCATCCAGGGAACAGTATTACTGTTTCACTGTGTGAAACAACTAATAACTAACAAACTAATATGAAATACGATTATGCAGCTCAAAAATGAACTGTTTGTAGAGGGCGTTCCCGCTTAGACACTCGTTTTGTTCTTCTGAATATCCAAGTCGGAATTTACAAACTAGACGTCTATTTTACAATGCAGATGATTTCTGTTGTTGAAAATGTTATCTCGTCATCCCGCTGTTAGTTTGTTACGCTTTGAAATTACCGAATTTCTTGAGATTAGTGAGTGCGAGACTGGCGTAACTGGTGCCAGGATTCATCCATACGTTATTATCACTGAGGTGGCCATGCGGAAACTCCTGATACGATAAAATTAATTTGGCAGATATCACTAAGACCGTCACCAACTGGAAATCTTTCTAATTGATAAATTAAAACGATGAGGTATTTACACCATCATGTCAAGTGTGAATTTCTTATCGTCGACAGATATACAAATGGCTCAGACTGAAAACACCGAATTCATCTGATCAGTCGGAATAAGTCGAATATTTGAATGATAAAATTGTATTTAGAAGAAAGACAGTAAGCGTCATTATGAGAATGAGTTATTTAGTTAAAAGTGTACATGAATACCACAGCTCCTAAACACATTTCTATAATGTTCAGAATACACGTTTGCCCAAGCAGCGTGACCCGGACAACCATATTCTTCTCTAGTTTCTTCCTCGAACTACTGGAGAGAAAATAAGTGTGGATTAGCATTAGAAATTTCATGAGAAAGCCAACAACGCTGAATGTTGTGAAGACACAAGGAAATCGACCAGTTCTGAGTATCTTTGCAGGCTGTTTGACTTGAAGATCTCACAACACCTATTGTCAGCATCAGTGCATACCCAGAATGACTGACAGTCAATGACTTCAGTCTCCTTGATCCCCTTATTATATTTCAGATATCTCAAATCCATTTATTCACACTCATGTGTGCATGTGTAGGTGTGGGTGTTCGTGTGATTGTGAGTGATGGTGTTTTGGGAATGTCTGACATGTTTTCAGAATGACTTGACCACAACTGGTGTTCGACTGAAAAGAAGTTGTTGGTTGGGTTCTGTTGAATGCTAAATCTGTGATACACTGCCTGACCCTCTTCAGATATATGATTTCATATGATATGGTATAATATCGTATGACTTGAAAAAGAAATCATGGTCCACCTCATGACACTAATCTCGTCCCTCGTGTTCGAAATACAAACAACATTGTATTCACATTGATTGGTTTCAGATTTCAGTTAAACATATTTCTATATAAATTCGGATGGTAGTTTCTCTCACCAGTCAATTTTGGAAGATGAAACGTGGAAAGATTTTCCGAGATAGTAGTTGGGTAAAACTCACGTCTCAACTTCACGATGGCAGTTTCATGAATTTTATTGAACACTTGAAAGTGAAGGAGCAATATAAAGATGGTGTATTAGGTGAAGGAAATCAAGCCTTGTTGATTAGTGTGTAAATTCCTTCTCCTACAAGTGATGATACCTGATCGGGAGTACTAAAACGCGCTGAATAAGTTCGCGTGTCTACAAGTTGTTTGATGGAATTCCCTTCATCACTGTCTCCTAAATTAACTATATCGTCATGCAAACACTCATACTGATCTAGCTTCTCGGTGCATTTTCACTCTGCCTAACAGAGTAGAAGTCATTCGCATATTTGCTTTAGCCCCTATGTGATTCAACTGTCTTCTTCGAACATTTCGACGATTTCGAGCGTGAGTGAACATTTCAGACTATTCTAGTTGTTTTTTCTGTGATCGGTTGAAATTCTCCTGTGAATAGACCTATATGCAACCAAACGTTGTGTACTGACTATTAACTGATGCACGATTCCTTGGAAACATCGACATTCCAAGAATAATAGATTATTCTTCTCAGTTGTAGATAAATAACCATTGTCAAGTGAACAATAGCCGCCTAATCTTCAAGAGGTATGAGCATGACACGAACGTTGAGTTCACCGAGTAGCAGGCAGTAGTTTTTACTTTGCTTTTCTAAATAGAATATAACGCATAAATGGAGAGTGTAAAGCTCATTAAAACAAAAGAGATTGAACTTACAAATGGCTTCACCATACCACATTCTTTGATAATATGAATACTTTATTTTGTTCTGCAATTCATAGAAATCTGAAATTTGTAAGATTATGGCTGCATTTTAAAAGTGAATGTCACAGAATCATGTAGTGAAAGGTGGTCATGTAGAATACTGTGAAATAACTGGTTGTTTTTGGTATATTGTGTTGTTGTTGTTGTTGTTTAAGCAGACGACTGTGTGTTCA